AATTAATATGCATCTATGTCCTTAATTTAATCAAAATTATTCTTTCAATCACTATATCAGTGTATTTCTATTAATAGGACTTATCATACTGGTGTATAAGATTGCAGCCTCACAGTTACACAGATTAAAATTGTTTTATTTTACAATTACCTGTTTGTAAAATACAGGTAATTGTAAAATAAAACAATTTTAATCTATGTAACTGTGAGGCTGCAATCTTATACACCAGTATGATAAGTCCTATTAATAGAAATACACTGATATAGTGATTGAAAGAATAATTTTGAAAGTATTCGTGTTGCTTATTGTTAATTATTATACTCCTGTAAGCAGAGCCGGCCTACCATAGGGCGAATGGAGCAGCCGCTCCAGGCGCTAAGTCCTATGGGGCGCCTCAGTGGTAAAGAAAATTAAAGGGTATAAATTAGGGGCAACCAAGGGGGCGCCATAATATGATCTCGCTCCATCCTAAAACTTGCCTCGGGCCGGCACTGCCTGTAAGTGGATTTTATGATTAAGCTTTATTATGTTCATGTATGCGTGCGCTGCAGTTTGTAGGCATTTAAAAAGGACGGTAAAAGTAAAAAATGGCGTCGCCCTTACTATCGATAGTAACGTGATGAGAAAATCTACGATTTTAAAATATGCATTTTTTGAGACAAAAGTTTTAAAAGAAGCGTCCCAGTTGTAAAATTCAACTATAAAATGGAATGTTTTGCCGACAGACATTCAAAGTAGGCACGAAAAAATTAGAATGCCGACCATCATTCGTAAAATGAAACATGTTAGGATTGCCTTAAAATATCTCCCAGTAAATGAAAACACAATTGCAAAAATTACGTTTTTTCACACATTATTATTACAAATATTACATTTTATTGATAAATTGTCCCAAGAAAATATCGTCAAAATTTCAGGATCTCCAAATCTGGTACTTAAGAATGTGATAAAAACTCTTGATCATTTTTTAAGCTAATACAACCACAGGTCGCTACTGTGATTAAATTATAAGCAATCAAATTATTGTAATCACTACCAGGTCCGGTTTTTGACTGTTAAGTTAGCCGCCCCTATCAATGCTGATAGCGAATAAATTCAAAATCTAAGCCAACGCATGAGAGCCTACTAGTATGTTGAGGGGTAAAAAATCCATAAAAATATTTGATATATATTTATTTTAATTTTATTCAAATCAAGCCGATAATACGAGCCTTTGTTCAAAGTTATATTTCTGTGCCGCCATAAAATACAAGTTGCAAATTAAAATAAAATTTTTCTTATTTAATACATAAATATAATACATACGTATGTGTATATAAAAATCTATTTAAATATGAATATTTAAATTAATAACATTGGTGCGTATCTTTTTGTTTATTTAAATTGTGCTGCAATTTAAATAAACAAATTATATAAATTCGCACTGTTGTCCGTCCGTTTGTCTATCCTTCCTTAATCTCTATACCTACCTGCACATCTACCAAAACTGGCCCTGATCACTGTGACTAATTCAGCAATCGCTTTATTAGCAAATCACACGGCCAGTTCAATAATAAAGCACATAGCAGGTGACCCAAAACTTAGTTGACCACACCAATCACTCGAACGACTCGTCAAAGGACCAAAAAAAGTTTAAATTTAATTTGTTCCAAAGAAAACTGTCATTTGCATACACAACAAGAATCTTATTTTCTAATAAAGTATTTGAAGACGATTCTAATAGGTTTTACGATAGTCAACTGACTTTCGGGGCACCCAACATGTTATGCTAAAGTAACTTTTCTCGTTCGGTTATGATTACTCTTTCATATCAACTACCGCCATCACAATTCACCCTCCCTCTTGTTTACTTTATTTGACGCATCTCTTTGATCTTCCGACACTAGTCTTCGTCTTTCCACTGTTCACGACCGTAACCTAGTCTAGTTCTTTTGTTTTATCATTTTTCTCTAAACATGTGAAATAACAGTTGATGTTTTGCTATAACATAAATTCGAAAATTTCATCAAAGTTACAGGAAAATAATGAAAAGCTCCTAGTCAATCACTGCATATTCTATTATTGTCTGACAGACTATCATTTCAACTTTGATGGTATCGTGCCATCTCTAGGTTTTTACATAACATGACAATAATTTATAAATTTAATACATAAAAATTGGTCGATTCGTTTTATAATTTATTAGAAACAAATAAAAAGTTCAAATGTATTGATTGGCAAATTCCGATTATTAAAAAAAGTTTTACTCTTGAGAGCATTTCCATTTGGATATGAATTTAAAACTATTCGAAGTATAGAACGAAATTATTTTTAAATACGCTTCCAGAATTCCGTTATTCTACTTCTTTCGTTCTGCAGAAAAAGTAGCAAGATGAACGGCTCTCCCAGCGACAAACAAAGAAAACGAAGCCGCAATTGCTCCAAATCGGAAGAGCGTCCAGAAATGGAGAAAGTAAGTCCTTTGGATAAGAAAACGAATATATACTACATTCAAAACTACATCGGCGTAGTGTGTGGAGACTACATTGTTGCAAAACAGGCACTGTACCCCGAAGAAAGAGCTCGGATAAAATTGAAAAGAACGGGGAAAGGCAAAGCGCATAGAAGGAAGCTTTCAAGGCCCACGAAAGAACGATTGGAATCGAGAAGGAAAGGAAGAAACACAAAGAGAAATGGAGCCAAGCTGAGAAGAAAAGGAAGAAATGGTACAAAGAGATCCAAAGGAAAAGTAGAAATAAGAAAAGAACATCGCAGAAGGGGCGATTAAAAGACTATGGACAACGGCATTGCTAGACTTTTATAGTTTAGTTACCAAAAGGCTCTTTTCAGAGCCATTTTTAACGTCTGTTAAGGAGTAACAAAATCGAATTTTTAAAAATTTATTTACATAAAAATAAAAATTATTTATTTTGTTTTTCTAGCATTCATGGATTGTCTTTTGTACATTATCTCAATTAATTATTCAAACAATTATATATTATGTATAACTACTCTAACAATATTTGAGATGATAGATATCAAACTGCTACACTTAAATGAAAGCATCTGTGAAAATAAAGCTTTGGTATTATCATCATATACCATATCTTTTACATTTTTCATTTTGACTGCTGTTTTCAGATTAATAATTAAAGATATACAAGTCTTTTGTTCTTAGATACGATGTTAGCTGCAGAAACTCTGTAAGAAGAGCTTTTGTAAAAATGCATCTTATAAAGCATCAATCAAATATCTGAAAATATCTCAGGCATTTACATTAATCCAACAAGAATCTAAGACTGTTTTAGTTTCAAATACATAATAATAAATCACACACACCTGAATTTTTTGCCGAGTTATTTTTGTTTATTCCAAACGTTTTCGGCCAATTCATATAGGCCATCTTCAGGTTTTAATAGTTTTCGTTGTAATGGAATCATTCGTTCGAAATTCGTTTGAATTTGAACTTATTACAACTTTTATGTATAATAAATAAATTAAACTAAATATATGATAAAATGTAATCTAAAAATCGCGTTTCAATTTAACAATAAAAATAAAAGAAAAATNATGCAACATATCAATTTTTATTCAGATCTAACAAGTCCTTCATGGTGCGTTATTTTTTTTGTCGTCCAGTGTATTATGAAGTGTTTCATGTAATACTATTTAAAAATTGTGGAAAGTTAAATATTTTGAACTAATTTAGAAGAGAGAAAATAAAAACTTAATAATAATTAAGTTTAAATACATAATAATAAACTGAAAATAGCAATATTACAGTTTGCTAATTTATTTCATATTGAACTTTTAAGAAATCATCCATATTTTAACAAGTTTCAATTTATTATTATTAAAAAAAAAATTATATATACATTTCTACCATATAGATCTTTGAACACCTGAAAGATAATTATAATCTGCAAGATGCCTCCAAACTATTCTTGACATTCTCCAACGTGTCAGTTTTCCTCTTGCACGAGAAGTTATCACACATCGTCCATGTAATCTTACTGGAGCAGTATCAAGTGGAAGAGCAGCAATTTCTGCATCTGCAATATCCTGAAATGTATAGAAACTATCAAAGATCTGAGAATATCTTTCCTAAAATACAAAATAGTACAATAAAAATAATTTTAAAAATCTTACTAAAAAAAGGTAGAAAAGACACTAAAAGTCTCGTGGATTATGAATTATGAAATTAAAGAGAAATACTCTATGCCTCTAGTTATCAATCTCCTATAATCTATGTCCAACATATAAAAACAATATAAAGCATATCTGTAACAAATAAATAGATACCAGTGCATCGAAACATTCATTCCTCTTTTAATTTTCAGTATAATAAGTCAGTGCTTTCAGACAAATAACATTACTTATTGCTTGGAAGTATTTAAACTGCATTGTTTTTGATTTTATTGAATATTGGAAAAATTCAACATACTGTCAGATAAAAAAAATTCAAAGATTTGTCCTAAAGATATAATTAAACAATTTTTTTTTAGTTGAATAGCAATCAATTGACAAATCAGCATTGCTGAAGGTTTTGAGAATAAAAAATAAATACAATTATGTTTTCATTTGTGTTTCAATTAACCTCATGAAGTTTGTTTAATACTACCAAAAATGTTCATTTTAAACTAAGATTTTATATTATGATCTGGACTTTTAGATTCTGTTGGTTATACTTGTTAACCAGTATCCTGAAGTTATAAAATTGATTCATGATTACACTTGTCCAAGAAGTACAGGAAACTAGTCATTTAAATATGCTGAACATCCAAAAAGTTGGATTTCCTTCTTCAATGTCAGGATTTTGAAATATACATTTGTCCAGCTTTGCAGTGCAATTGGCCTGAACTACTGTAAGAACTGCTAATCATTCTACATAATGATGCTTACAGTCATGATTATACCAAAGTTAAGGATATTCTTTGTAGACAGGGCTAGAATATACTGGAACATTCTTCTATTTGCCAAATATGAATTTCTGTGATTTTAAATTGTTTGTAATGACTAAAGAATCCTTACATGGAAAATAATACCTTAAGAGAGAGAAAGTCAAATGTTTTTGAGCAATTGGAGAAATATGTCCAGAAAAATAATAATTCAGCAGGAGTGAGGTGATTTCCAAGGATTTAGCAAAACATTTTAAATAATGCGAGACACTATCAAAGAGAATTTATGCATAACTGATTTGTATAATAAACCATCATCAGTTCCAACTATTTGAACTATCAAATTCTAAAACACTGAATCAATATTCTAAAGTTTGAAAATCAAAATTATGAAATAATTCTATACACAATAACAGCTTATAATTTAAGTCATACTTGTATATCAATATTAAGTAACTTTTGTAATATCAATAACGGATTCTTTATAAATTATTATTTTATAAAAAAGAAATATAATAGAAAAGAAACTATAGTAGGGTCCCAATTAACCAAGACTTCTCCAAGGCTCCATATTATCCAAGGTCAATTGTGGAAGAATACTTTGTTAACAAAGACAAGAGAACATAGTGAAATATAGTTTTTCTCAAATTTCTTAGCTGGGTGCATACTTGAAAAAAGATCTAGAAGTTTTAAAAAGAATTTATTATGGTGACTTTTTACGACAATACAAATTTTTAAAAAGTTAAAGATATTTTAATTATAATCATAGGTTTACATCAGCTTTAATAACTAGATCTATAAAAAATTTTTAAATAAAATTAAAAGTATTTTATTGTATAACTTAAAAAAGTCATTATGTGCAATAAGTAGGTCTAACCTAAAAGTAGAGTACACTGTATTCATTAATGCATCCAAATTCATTTTATTTAATAATGTACTAAACATTCTGGGTCATTCAAATTTTTGATTATTCAAGGCACCACCCTCAATCCATACTATTTTTGATAATAGAAATTCTACTATATATAATTTAGTTTATATTTTTAACTTTCGTAAAACATAGTGCAAAGCCTGAAAATAACAAACAAAATGATTAAAAATATATCAAAAGTTATAGTAATTCTTCCAGTTTTTAAATTGTTTTGATAACAATATTTAGGCTATAAAATGATAATTTACTTACTCGTATTTGTCTTGGAAGAATATCATTTTTACGTAAGGCATTAATTTGGAGCCTTAGTTTAGCATTGTCTTTTACCATTTTCCGACGCTTTACATCTCTCAACATTCGCCAATCTGTGTAATGACCAGTAGAACGATTTGGTGTAACAATCATTGGATATAAAGGCTAGAAATAATATACAATAGGTAATTTAAAATAATCTGCAAATCATATTAATATGTAGCAATATAATATATTTTTAATATTGATTATGAATATCAATTATAAAATTAAATTTATTAAAAACAATTTTTATTATTAAAATTTGATAAATACTTGAAAATATCTAATATTTCTGTGTGATTAGTCTATATCTAAGATCGATGACAACACAATACTGGATATATAAGCAAACAAAAGACTACTCACAATGTCAACCAAACTCCAGCAATTAAACTACTGCACAAACATTTTCATCTACCTTTAAGTAGACATGTCCATGTAGAATTGTAATATTCCATCTGAAGATGTCTACTTGAAGGTAGATGAAAATGTTCATGTAACAGTTTAATTGCTGGAGTTTGACATTGTGAGTAGTTTTTTTTGTTTGTTAGTCTATATCTAATGGCTACTTTAGCCAAATTTAATAATTATGTGAACATATACACAGACAAAAAGCATAAGAATGAATTAATTTTATGCTTCAAGAGCACCAATCTTTGATAGCATGTTACTTCAGTAATAATGTTTGTCTTGTGTTTTTGTAAATTCTTAAAGATGACTTCTTTCTCTGAACTTCCCCCATCTTTATATGGAGTCAGCATTCCTATCTTTAATCTGTCTTCTCCACTTCTCTCTATCCAGGGTGTCCTCTCTCTCCTCCATCCCTTCTCTCCCAAATCCCTTTCCATCCTCTCTCCATCTCAGCTTCAGTCTTTCCCACTTCCTCCTCCCTATCACATCCAACTTTCCAACATAGTCCTCATTTCTTCTCTCTACATGTCTAAACCATCTTAATCTACTTTCCTGCATCTTCTTACTTATAGTATCCACCTTGACTGATCTTCTTATATAATCATTCCTAATTCTATCCTTTGTCATATCACACATCCATCTCAGCATTCTCATCTACAGTCTCCATCTTTACCTGGGCTCTTGTAACTGCCCATGTCTCAACACCATACATCATTGCAGGTGTGTTACCACAGTTTTGTATACTCTTTTTTTCATTTTGTAGCTTATTTTTTTTTTATCACACAACATTTTACTCATCTTTCTCCAGTTCAGCTATCTATTTTGAATTCTATGCTGGATTTCTGCATTCATTTCTCCATCACTTGCTATGTATGGTCCAAGATACTTTAATTTGGAAGCGGTAATTAACTTTTCACTGGAGTTGTATAACTCTCATCCCCTCCACCAGATGCCATATATACTGTCTTTGCTCTTCGTGCCTCTCTCTTCCAGCACTTTTCTCCATTCCTTCAGCTTCTTCCCTATCTTATCTTGATATGTTTCACACAGCACAATGTCATCCAAAAACAGCATACTCCATGGTGCCTTGCTCTTCACACCTTCCACCAATACATTCGTCACCAAACTGAACAAAAACGAGCTAAGGGCTGAGCCCTAGTGCAGTCCAACTCTCACAGTGAATCCTTTTGTCAATACCTACATTGCTCTTTACTTGAGACATTGCTTCCTTATATATTTCTTTTGCAAGTCTAACATACTTTTCTGGTATTCCCTTTCCCTCATACATCACCATACCTCCTGTCTAGGCACCCTGTCATATGCTTTCTCTAGATCTATGAAAACAATGTGCAATTCTCCCTGCATCTCTCTGTACCTTTCCATCAGCTGCTTTAGAGCAAAGATCAATCATATCTGTTGTTCCTCTTCTCAGCATGAAACCAAACTGTTCCTTACCTATAGTTCTCTCTTGCCTTATGCTTCCTTCCACAATTCTCTCCAAGATCTTCATTGAGTGTAATATCAGTTTACTTCCTTTTAATTTCTACATTCCTGCACATCTCATTTTCCTTTATAAATTAACATTAAAATATTTTTCCTCCACTCAATTGATATCTTCTCTTGCTGCTATAGCTTTTTCATAAGATCTCAAACAATAACAACACCCTCTTTGCCCAAACATCTCCATACCACAGCTGGGATCTAATCAGCTCTTGTTGCTTTCCCATTCTTCTAAGTGCTCTTTCCACTTCCTTCTTGCTTATATCTGCTGATACTCCTTCATTTGCCTCCCCATCCTCACAAAGTACTCTTGAATTTTATTCAGTAGCTTCCTAAAATAACTCTTCCATCTTTCCTTTACCATCTCTTGGTCTTGTAACACTATTTTATCTATTTTATTGATGATTATTATTAAAGATAATTGAATACTCAAAAATGCTAGATCTCTCATTTCATCTCCAGAGAAAACTGCAAACATAAAATATGTAATTTTATGTCTGCTTATGGCAGTCTATTAACTAAACAAATTTCCTTTTTATACTCTATAAAACTAATCATAAGCCAAACAATTGCCATATTAAATCAGGCTACTATCTGATTTAGTATGACAATCATTTGGCTTATGATTAAAACATCAGACTTTGACATGTTTAATTTATAGTATTTATCTTCAACAACATTCAAGTTATCGATTTTTACATATTAAGTAACCAAACTTTTATCTACATTCTAGACAGGAAATAGATACTAAAATAGAAGTAAACATCTTAAGTAATATTTAGAAAGTATCTTGTATAGTTCAACCCATTTAACAGAGTACAAGGGAACAGTTTGCTTAAGAATAGGGTTTGTACAAAAACTGACTTTTTATAAAGAATCTCAACTTTTCTACAAAACCAGTTTTAACTGGTTTTCGAATTTTTGCTTCTTCCAAAAAATGGAAATAAGAAATGTTTACAACTTAATTTAAAACTTTATGATTTATTTAATATTTATAAAATTTCAAAAATATAACAAAATAAAATCGACCAACGTCTACACAAAATAAAAAAGAAAAAGCTAGATTATCACATTAAACTATAAAATTTACTCCATAAAAAGCCATAAAGAAAAAGGAACAACAATGAATGCCTACAAAATATTATTTTATTTCTTATTTTTCCTAAGAAAATATGATTTTAGAAAGCAAAGAACATCTATAGATCTATTACTTAACCTTGTCCTTATTTTGCACACAAAATTGCCAGAAACAGAAAAAAGCTCTCTCACTTGCTACTGAACTGGGTTTAATCATCTTTAATGCATTAAATAATAAATGTAAATTTTTCATTCTTCTGTTCGTACCCTTTAATACTAAAAACATTTTTAGTGTCTTAAGGTTGGACGAAGTCACTTCAGGTTCTTGGAGATATTTATGCATTGATTTTTCCATAGCATTTTTTAAAGCTATGGCTTGATTTTCTTATTTGCCACTTTTTCATTATCGCACTCATCTTCTATGGATTAATTTGGATATAATCTCAATAATATTTATCCAGATAACTTAATATCAGAGTTTGCAGCTAGTGGAAGAAATATGATAGACAACTTTGTCTAAACGTTCTGTGGATTTTGTATATAAAGGAGAAGTGTTACTAATCCCGTTCGTCTTCTCTCTTGAATTTGTACCTCTACAGCAAGTAACAACTTGAAACTAATTTCAGCTTTAAAATTTTTCAATTCACATAACAGAAATTCAAATATGCCTTCACCTGTTAATAAATAGGACGACAAGATGCAAACTTTGTTGTCCTAAGACATAGCTACTAAACGTATTGGTCCTTAAACTTTAAGAACTTAATTTTACACTACTCTGCTTCGTTCCACGTGCAAGAAGCACCGATGTGTCATTCAAAGCTAAGACAGTGCATTCTTTTAAGTGTACAAATCTTTCTATTGTTTTTCTATTGTTGAAAGATTTCTCCCTATTATAGGGAGAATTGGACGCTTTTTAGGTGTAGGGGGATTTTATTGTTTTTCTAGTTGATTTTATGAAACTTAGTATTTAACAATATTCCCGTTTTATGTCAGAGACGATTTTGTGTCAAAGTGTTGATGTTTTTAATCAAATAATTAATTAATTTATATGTTTAAGTCTAGACTCAAAAACTGGTTTTTTAGTTGGAAAACCCTGTTTTCAAATTATATAAATTTCTTCAAAAAACCAACAAACCCTAAAGAATGCACTCTTGCATGTTTCTCTTCTATGTTTTGCATCAGCAGAACTCCCATTAATTAAGCACTGAATAGTAGAGCAGTCCATTTAAATGGGCAGCATTTTAAAAGCAGCAGTCTGAATAAGGAAGCACTATTCTAAGGGTCAATTGTTAATCTTGTGTTATATTAATGTTCAAAACACATGGTAACAGGACTACAATATTTGTTAGGATTTAGTAAAACCACCCATTCATTAGTTTTCTACTATGTGAACAGTCAAAAGATTTCTTACACAATCATAATCAGCAGGTTTTATTGGACACTCACATGAGAAGCAATTACATATTAAAAAATATGATAAAATACATGTGAACAGTGCAGATCACATATATGCCCTCATCTTGAATAGGCAGAGCAAGAAGTGATTAGCAACCAGCAGTACTATATTTATTTGTTTTTTTGCCATACATTCATTACAAAGCATTCAGAAATTTTAGAGCAAGGATTTTTTGCATCTTTTCAGCTAGGCCTCTTACTATACTTCTGTAAGATAGTGAAGTGACTGGTAAATATTGTATATTTACTAATTTTTTGCTAGAATAGTAAAATTGATGATATAAGAATAGAAAAAACCAATATTTAAGTACAGTAAAATTATGCATTAATAAATTTTAAAATTTTTAAATGTTACGTAGAGCTCCTAAGACATTAAAAAATGAAGAGTATCAAATATCATTAACTTACTGGGTAATCTTGTTACTTAGGATAAAGGAGTATGATGCAGTGATCATGAGGGTGCTCTCGAGTGGACTTAAATGTATTATTTTTAAAAATTTATTTACATAAAAATAAAAATTATTTATTTTGTTTTTCTAGCATTCATGGATTGTCTTTTGTACATTATCTCAATTAATTATTCAAACAATTATATATTATGTATAACTACTCTAACAATATTTGAGATGATAGATATCAAACTGCTACACTTAAATGAAAGCATCTGTGAAAATAAAGCTTTGGT